CAAGATGATATATCCTATCAAAGAGATATACAATATGATATATGTATATGCAAGGATATAAAACTAACACAAGGGGTAAACAATATGAACTAGATAGTGGATCATATAAATAATGAGCTATGGACAATGGCGATATAAGATATGAACATAAATATAAATGAACGCCAAAGCACACTCAAACACACTATATGATCACGGAGTTCAGACCTTCCGTCTTACGTCTCCGCTCCCCACTCCCGGGGAGAAATCTACTATCACAACCGGGTTTTTTACGTTCACCCAAATAACGTTTACACCTCACAGTGTCGGTTTTCAACGCTCACCGAACAACGTTCACTCCTCACACTCGTTTTTCTAGTTCACCGAAAACTTCACAACACACTTGGTTTTCTAGCTTACCGAAAACCTCACAACACTCACAATGTAACAAATATAAATTTATTCTCTCGTACAAGGGGAGAACTCAATTAAATATAACTCAATGTTATAATCTCTCACAACCCTAATATACTATGTATGCAAATACAATAAGCTCAAGTGGGTGTGTGTAACAATGAGATTCAATAAATCAAAACTAAACTCAATTAAAATCTAGCATATAGAAATTATAAACAAAATAATAAATAGCTAGAAATGAGTTTAGAGATTCTTCTCTGAATAATAAGATGGAGAGATGGAGATTAAAACCCAAACAAGAAGATGATCTCCTCCACTTGTGAAAACCAAAACAGCTTTAAACCAAACCCTTAAACAAGCTTAAAACAAGCTTAAACTGTTTTTCAAAACTCTTTAAAACATTTCTTTGCTTCTTAGTTAGAACTGAGGTAAGGGGGGTATTTATAGAAACCCCAAAGCCAAGAGAAAGCCAAGAAAAAAAGACCAAAAAACCATTCTGCAACGGCTCTAAAAAGAGCCGTTGGAACTACAGCGATCAACTGAAGAAAATTGCGGTCGACCACGAACAAGGTCAGAAACAGATTTGTTTTCCAGAGAGTTCGTCGGTCGACCGCACTGTAGCGCGGTCGACCGATAGTACTGTAGCACTATATATGTAGCTCTGTAAAATCAATTAAAAATAGTAAAGCAACTCCAAAATTTGTGAAATTTTGAGGGAATGTTCTATACATGTATAAGAATATGTTAGAGAAAGAATTTCTAAAAAATCATTTCCCAGTTGAGAGAAATAAATGTTTGAACACAGAAATACAGTTTCTGAAAATCTACTGTGATACACGATTTTGTAAAATCAATTAGGCTTAGTAAATCAACTCCAAAAATAGTAAAATTTTGAGAAAAGTTTATAAACATGTTTTTAAACATGTCAAATAAGGAATTTCTTGAATATCACTTCCCATTTATAAAAACTCATCTGTTTTGTAAAACATGCACGAACATACACGAATGAAAAACATGATTTTGTAAATTCCATTAAACATAACAAATTAATTCCAAACTTGATGAAACTTTGCAAAATATTTATAAACATGAAGAAAAAAATGTTAGAAAAATAATTTCTCAATTTTCATTTCTCAATTGTGAAAACTCATTATTTTGTAAAAACATGCATGAATATGAATTTGTTAAGAACATGCTTTTGACAAAAAGAGTTTAAACGAATATTGAAACTTTATGAAATATCTTCATAAACATTATAACACATGAATATAAAGTAAACATGGTCAATAAAACAATATCACAAAGTTTTCTCAAAATAGCTCATTTTGTGAGAAAATCCAATATTGTGTGTGTATATGATATTGAGCTTAGAGTAGTAAACACACATAATATAAACATATACTAAATATACCCAAGCTTGATGAAGGTCTTCAATGAGCATGACTTGGTAAACTTTGTGGAAGAAGCTTGAACTTGATCTTTAACTTTGAATTGCATAAGCTTCACCGACATTCCGCCAACCTCCTTTTGATATGATCGTGAATGCTTGATTCCATCCATCCTCCAACTAGTTGTTTGTCTACAATAAATAACAAAATACAAACACTAGAAAAATAATATTAGATGTAAATTATTTGTTAAATTATTATCAAAACAAGAAGGCCAACATGTCTAACTCAAAGACTTAGAAAAAAGTTCAACCCTTGTGTCAAAAAAAATTTAACTTCGTTTTGCTTCATTTTGTAGTGGCTCATGGCGACATTACCCTAGGTGGAGTTTGAACAAAGGTGGATTAGCTCCTCTGCTCTATTCTTGGGAGATTAATCTCCCAATCTTTCAGACCCAATGTCAACTTGTTGGGGTCCAATTGCATATTTGAGATACTTGTTCTTGGATCCCAACTTGGACACAATTAGTCAAAACAGGATTCATAATATCACATTTTTGTTTGAAGATTCCAGGCCTTTCGCTTGTTTACTCCTGCAACATGTTTGAAATCTTCAAGCATGTAATCTGGGACTTAGGCCTCGAAATACATGTGATGACTCTGCAGATTATAGAGATGTTTACCACCTTCGCCTACAGCTTCAACCATCTTAGCGATAACCTCTCACTCTGTAACTCATCCACTCTGTAACATGTTAAAAGCTATAAATACATGTGACAGCTCTGCAGTTTGTAGAGATGTTTACCCCCTTCGCCTACAGCTTCAACCATCTTAGCGATAACCTCTCACTCTATAACTCATTCACACGTGGTTGAAAGCTAGAAGTAACGAAGACTTCATGCCAAGAAATGGGAGATGGAATTTTAATAATAAGAGCAGCAGGATTAAAGGTAGCAAAGCTTGATACCGTTGCAAGAATCTTGATGATTCTTTACGAGGATAAGTTGCACAAGAAGGCATTGAACGAAGTTTAAGTGGAGCGTTGAAGGTCATTGAATGAACTTGTAAGCAAACTTTGTAATGTTAATTGTTCTACTTGAGTTTATTTATTGTAACTTTAGTTATCACATGAATAAAATTATAGTTTTATCCATTGACTGCTCTCTTCTTTCGTGCACTTAATAATCATAACTTAGCATTTTTAGCAAGCCCTTAGCTATTAACGAATTTGATTTACTTTTACCAATTACCATTTGAATTGGTCTAGCCGTACTATTCCCCTCAGTACGATGAGTTGTCGAGAAGTTTCTTTTAGATTTAGATAAAATTTCTTCTCTCCCCTAAGACATTCAAGGTATCAGGTTATGTTAATTGCAATAATTAAGTTGTAAGTCAGGTTAGGCCGTGTCGTTTGGTGTGACGACTTAGCCCAAGAGTGAAAGAGTGACTCATCGCTTGGTAGGTCGCTATCATGGAATAGGGGGTCGATAAGGCACATCGCTTGGTAGGTCGTTATCGACAAACAACATCATCTGCGGGAATGATAGTGTTGGAATAATCAAGTCATTCAGGGATGTAGGAGTATGACGACTGATTAGAATAGTAGTACATCACATAGTAGGCTACTATCATCGATTGTTCTAAAAAGATTAGAATGCTCGGAAAGGATCAGGTCATTCAGGGACGTAAGAGTATGATAACTGATTAGAATAGTAGCACATCGCATGGTAGGCTACTATCATTAATTATTCTAAAAAGATTAGAACATTCGGAAATAATCAAGTCGTTCAGGGACGTATGAGTACGACGACTGATAAGAATAGTAGTGCATCGCATGGTAGGCTACTACTTATCGAGTAACGTCATTTGTGAAAATGATGGAGTTAACTATCAGAGGTAATCATTAACATGATAGGAATTTGTAGACCTGCCATCCTATTGAAGAGGATTAGTGGGGGCAATCTGGGAGGAGATTAGTTATCAGAGGTGAGTGTTAACATGATAACTTTGTGTGAGTTGAAGGAAGGCTATGGGTAGTACTTCTTCAGAAATTTATCATTAATAGGCATCATGATCTTATCACTATTCGGTTTGATGAGGCGATAAGCTCTATTTGAATAGACCGTCTCTATTATAAATGGTCCTTCCCATTTGGGTTAGAATTTTCTTTCTTTTTGGAGTTGAGTATCATCGGTCATTGAACAGCGAGGACCAACTCTCCCTCTTTGAAAGATCTGTGTTTGATTTTTTGTTGAAAGTCTTGGATATTCAGGCTTGATAGAACTCGATATACTGTTGACCTTCAAGCCGCTTTTCATCTAACGCCTCTAATTCTGCGAGATGTCGTTGATGACTTTCTTCAGTGGTTATCCTTGTCGCAAGTGTGATGCGTAGGGATGGAATTTGAATTTCTAGAGGTGGTACAACCTCACAACTATATATCAATGAATAAGGCGTGGTGTCTGTTGGTGTGTGGACTATAGTACGATATGCCATAAGCTTTCATCGAGCTTCTCATCCCAATCGCATTTACTAGTGGACGTCAGCTTCGTTAAGATCTTAATAATAATTTTGTTGAAAGCTTCAACTAGTCCATTTGCTGATGGATTGTAGCAGTGAAAGCCAAGTTTTGTATTCTGAACTTGTCACAGAACCGAGTGAATGCATGACTAACGAATTGTGACCCGTTGTCATGAATAATATGTCTTGGAACACCGTATCTATAGATGATGTGATGTTTGATAAATTTGATCACATCACTGGTTTTAACTTCTCTTAAAGGAATAGCTAAAGCCCATTTAGAGAAGTTATCAATTATCGCTAGGATGAAGCGATGGCCTTTTGCTGATGGCAGAGATATCAGTCCTACGATATCTATTCCCTATATTTCAAACAGTCATGAAGTCGCTGTCAGGTGTAGGTCTTCGAGTGGTCAATGTATGTAATTGGCATGAATCTGACACGCATGGCAGTGTTTGACATAAGCTACTATGTCATTGACCATTCCAAGCCAATAGTAGCTCATTCTTCGTAAGCGATCCCAAAGCTTGGGTCCGGGTTGGTGAGCTCCGTAGGTACCATTATGGGCCTCCCGTAGGGCTTCCTGTGCTTCTATCATTGAGAGACACTGAAGTAACATGTCGTCGTATGACCTACGATATAATATTTTCATCGTTAAGTCGTAGTAGAATCTTGACGCGCATCTGGGAACAGCTTCTCATTCTTTAATGTCTTCAGGGAGTATGCCGTATAAGACATAGTCGATGATCAAGAAATGCCAATCTCTTGGTTCGAGTTGACCTGTGCTCTGGTGAGCTACATTTACTTCCAGAACATCCTTCGGTCGAAAGAGTTGTCGGCTTGCGATGGTGATGCATTGACTTGCTCCCAGTGGTTGAGCCAGGTTGGCCACTAATGATGCTAATGCATCTACATACGTGTTCTTAGAGTGAAGCACGTGCTCAATGCAAAATGTTTCAAATAATCCGGCTAGTTTGATAGCCGCTTTATGACATGGGATTATGTCATCATTTCTAACTTCGTATTCCCCTATCATTTGCTTGACGATGAGCTGAGAGTCATTGTAAGCTGAGAGATGCTTGATCTCTAATTCTTTAGACAAGTCAATTCCAATGAGCAGGGCATTATACTCGGCCAAGTTATTAGAACATAGCTCCGTTAAAGAGAAAGCTTGAGGTAATATGTGGTTTTGAGCAAAAACCAAGACTACCCCCACTCCCACGACGATAGATCCGCTTGTACCTATGCGAGATGCACCATCAAAGAATAACTGCCAAATTTCTTCCTGCGAGGTAGCATTGACCTCGTGGGTTTCATTCAGCATATCTTTGAATAGATCGGTCTTTGGATTTAGCCGATGACTGGCCATGAGATCGCATATTGTTTGCCCTTTGACGGGCTTCTGTGGCATAAAGTAAATGTCATATTAGGACAGCAAGAGTGCCCATCTTGCCAATCACCGATTTAAAGTCCTGGGCTACGTCATGAAGACTCGGATAGGATTTATCCAAGAGATAATATGTATGGTTTGACCAACTAAGTAGTGTCGTATCTTTTGAATTACAAACATCAGGGCCAAACATTCTTTTTTGACCATAGCGTACCAGCGCTCGACTCCCTACAATGTTCTACTCAGATAATAGATGTCTTGCTCGTGACCAGTGTCATCATCTTGTGCTAAGAGAACACTAAGAGAATGCTCCATCGCTCGCACATAGATTAGGAAGGGTTTCCCTAAGACGGGCGCCGCCAAGACAGGTGGGTCCGAGAGATAAGTCTTGATCTCTCCAAACGCTTGTTGGCAAGCCTCGTCCCATACAAAAGAAATGCTTTTTTTCATCAATTTTGAAAAGGGTTGGCATTTACTCGAGATATTTGCAATGAATTTGTGGATGTATGACAGGCGTCCTTGCAGTCCCCTCAATTCTTTGAGGTTTCTAGGTGGCTGAAACTCTTGAATAGCTCGTACTTTGTCAAGGTCTATGTGGATTCCCTTGGTTGTGAAAACAAACCCAAGGAATTTACCGCTCGACATTCCCAAAAATAACTTCATAGGATTCATCTTCAATTGATGAGATCGCATGAGTTCGAACATCACTCACAGGTCTTGAAGGTGATCGTCTTTGTTATGACTCTTCACGACCAAGTCATCCACGTAGCATTCGACTATCTTTCATAGATGATCTCAAAAAATTATGCTCATGGCACATTGGTAAGTAGCGCCTAAATTTTTGAGTTCGAATGGCATAACTGTGCAACAATATATTCCCGTCGGTGTTCTGAACGAAGTGTGTTTCTCATCTTCAGGGTGCATTTTGATTTAATTATACCTTGAGAATTCGTCCATGAAAGATATCCTTTCGAACCTGCATGTATTGTCGATAATGACGTCCATATGGGTAAGGGAAATTCGTCCTTCGGACATATGGTATTAAGGTATCTGAAGTTGATGTAGGTATAGATCTTACCGTTCTTCTTCAGGACCAGAACAATATTAGCCACCTAATCGGGATGTTGTTCCTCTCTGATGAAGCCTGACTCGATCAGCTTCTTCACTTCGGCTTCGGATCGCTTCCATAATTTGCAGACGAAACCATCTTGTAGGCATATAAAATTGCTTATAGGTCCCCTAGCATGGCTCGGCACAAACCGACGAACCAACGAGGCGACGAGATCGACGAATCGCACGCAAGCGACGGAATGCATCCATACGCGTTCGGAATCAAGCCAAGTGTTAAAGAGTCAACGAGTCATCCAACCGAGAGCGGACTCGGACGAATCACGATCGAATCAAGATCAGTTTTGGACTCGAACTCAGAAGCGGGTTTACTGCCAAATCAGGAATCAGATTACTGCCAAATCAGATCAACAAATCAAAATTTAAGTCAACCGAAACACGGACAAACGAGACAGCGCAAAACCTCGGAAAACCCACACCTAAAGGGGCTCGGCTTAAGCCGAGCCACCCATAGGTGGCTCGGCCATAGCCGAGCCACCCATGGGTGGCTCGGCACAGTGCCGGCCACCCAGAGGTGGCCGACGTTTTCCTGTGCGCGGGCACAGTCCAGAGAGCCTATAAATAGGCCTAGAGGTGTTCATTTTCAAAGGTCGAACTTTCAAGAGCCGAAACTCTGCCGGATTGAAGAGTGAACTCGGAGCTTGAAGACCAGAAGACTTGCACCATTCAGATCTGATCCTCGGCGACCATCCACGTCAGAAAAGGCAGGATCTCGAGAGGAAGAAAGAACAGATCTGAGATCTACACGAGATCACACTCCAGATCTAAGCTTGGTCTTAGATCTCGAGATCCGAGCGATTATTCCCTTGGTGGATTAATCCCTCCCGGCTATTATTCCCTTCGTGGAATAATACCCGCATAATCGTGTAGATCCGACCGGATCTAGATCGCGCGGTGGTCCACGGATTAACCCCGGCGCAGGCAAAGAACCCACCAAAGCGAGCGACCGCAAAACAGGAGCTCGTGATTTGTTCACAGAAGGAAAGTTGTAATTTTTTCTTTATTTTCTTTGATTTAATTGTAACCGGATCTATAAAAGACCGGATCTTTTGTAACTCGAAAAGTTGTAACTAAAGATGACAATTATCTCATTAATGAAGAAAGCAACGGTTTTCCACGCGAACAATACCCTAAACCTCGTCTGAATTTATAATAATCATCCGGTTTCCCTTTTGGTACATATGCTGCTTTGGCTGGAATACGAAGACCTCGATCGAAGTATAGACCTTCTCCGAGTGTGAAATCATATCCCTGTTTCTCCATGAGCTTGCGCGCTTCAGGACTATACTTAGATAAATGTCGACCAGGTTTATCTTCCCCGAGAACGGGAAATTCAATGTCCCTGTTCCAAACTCATTCGGGCGGTATTGTCGGAATGCAATTGCATTAAGGCGGTCCCCGAAAGAGTTTCAGTTTTTGAAAGACTTAATGCGGAAACGCCAAAACCAAGGCCTAGGCGCTTCCAACGAAGAAGAAGGGTGATTGAAGACGGAGAATTTCCGAGGGTCACCACCAACATGACGAGCAAAGGGACATCGGCACGAGAAGATTTCGAGTCGATTCTGAAAGCTTCCCGACCTAGAACCCGTCTGCAGTCCGGAACCATAGAGCGAGCAACTTATGGTAGGATTCGGACAAGACGCCCTTCAGAAGATGAAGAATCTGATGCCGGCTCCGCGGTGGCATCAGATAATACAGTATCCAGCGAGGGACAACCCCGCGAGGCCCTGATGATAAGTGCGGAGCAGATGGCCAAGATGCTTGAAGACGCTTTGGCTAAGCAGAAAGAAAGTTTCAAATTTGAGATGGAGATGGCCATGCAGCAGATGAGAGAAATGCATGACCAACAGATCCAAGCATTGGCGAACCAACAAGGCGAGCAGAATCATCGTAACCCGATTAATGTGGAAGATGAGGATACAAATGCTCGTAACACCAATGATCCTCCCGTCAACGCAGGGGGTGGTAATGAGAATGCTGGCGAAGAAACCGGCGAAAACCTGAAGATCAAGAACCTCGAGAGCAAAATCAACACACTAATTTCCGCTCAAGAGACGAAGAAAACAGGCATTCCTTGCCCATACCCAAGAGAATGGGAATCGATCCCATATCCGGCGAAGTTTAATCTAATTAACTTCACGCCGTTTAATGGGATGGGTTCACCTACCCAGCATTTGATTTACTTCAAATCGCATTTGGGGGTGATCTCTGGTAATGAGCCTCTGATGGTGCGGTCATTCGTCGGCACTCTTCGCGGAGCCGCCTTCGATTGGTATCGCCGCCTCAAGCCAGGCAGCGTAAACAGCTGGGATGACATGGAGACCAAGTTCCTGGCCAACTTCTTCGACGACGACACCGAGATATCTATCGGATCGTTGCTCGATGAGAAGCAGAAGGACGGAGAGTTAGTCGATACCTTCGTCAAAAGATTCCGGAACAAGGCGATGAATTGCCGGGACCCGATCACCGAGGAATTCATCCTCCAGACCTGCCACAACAACCTCGCGTTGGACGTGCTAGAAGCAATGGGGACAGCACCATCCAATACATGGAAGGACTTGAAAGTCCGGGGAGAGCAAGCTGAGCGATTCCTCAAGAGGAAGAAGGCGGAAAGAGGCCAACCGGCGACGAGTGTTCCAAAGCAAAACTTCGTCCCACGGGGGAAAGGTAAGGCACAAGCTAATGCAGTTGATGCTAATCAAACCTTTCAATTGCAACCACAGCAACAGCAGCCACAGCAACAAGCACCCCAACAATCTCGAGGACAATGGCAACAACGGCCTCAGAAGCAGAAATCTGCGGAGCCGAGGTTTCCTAAAGTGTACTCCTTCAAGGATGATGAAGTTCCCGGCATCTTCAAATACCTGTTGGAGAACAACAAGATCCAGTTGCCGGCGATCGTGGATCAAGAAGGGGCCAGCAAAGTGACGGATCCAAAGTACTGCGCGTACCACAGAGCGGTCCACCACCCTACGAGATCATGCTACCACCTCAAGGACAAGATCCAGGCGTTAATCGACGTAGGAGTCATAACCCCGAAACCAGCCAAGAATGTGGGGGCCAACGCAGTGTCAATCAGTTTTGGGTCGGTGCCTACAACTTGGTTCGAGCCAAAACGCGTCACCAAAGTCGGGATGAAGACGGTGAATGACGATCCGCACGGACAGCGCCAAAAGGGACTTGTGCCGCACACAACCCCAAATGGCGAAATCCTTTGGGTTCATCCAGATCTGATTGGAGATGAACAATGGGCCGGTTCGTCATCCGGGAGGAAGTCTAAAGGAAAAGGGAAGTCTTGTTATGGAGTCTCTGCTATCCCAGGGGAAGATGACGAAAGAATCTCCACTTTCCTGCTCTCTGAAGAAGAACAAGAAGCTTTTGCGACACGGAGCGGAAATGAATACCACTACAATTATCCGCCACCTAGTGAGCAGGGGGTGAACAAGCGGGGACCAGCCAAAACTCTCACGGAGATGGGAGTGATTGCAAGTCCCACACCGGGTAAAGAAGCTCTACGACAACCGGTGAATAAACCAAAAGAGAAGAATCCCCAAGAGGTACAGAATCCGAAGCAGTCTCGTTTCAGTCGTCCAATTGGAAGAGACAAACCGGAAAGCTCGAAGACTCCGCATAGCTTCGACATTATGGCGCAATTAGCCAACATTCCTGCACGGATAACGCTGTATGAGTTGCTGCGATTATCCAAAGAAACCAGGGAGGCCCTACAAGAAGCTTTGGCCAATGCAGAGGTATTTCTGACTCAAGTCAAGCCGATACCTGAACAGCCAGAACCGCTGAGTCAACAGTGCAACATAGCGACTAAGAACCTTCCCTGCATTACTTTCACCAAA